CCTGCAGAAATTAACATCATCATACTTTCTTTTATTAAAAAAGCAGTATTTTTAAATCGTTGCTCATTAGTTTGCCGTCAATGGTATTCATTTTTGAATAATCAATCCATTTGGCAATGTTTGTATTTAACTCGTTGGAGAAATGATACAAAATTAAATAATGAAATTGAAGAAAATTGGAAGAAACTTTATCGGATTCGTTCTATGATACATGAACTGGAATATTTAGAAGAAAAACCTTCTTCAGTTAAAAAAATGAAGAAATGTGAAGAATATACTTTCGCAATTCGCCAGCTGACAGTCTCACAGCTTTTAGAGTTTTGGAAAGAATTAACAATAATTCATGATATAAATGAATTCAAACAACGATCGACAAGACTACAAGAATACCATGGGAGAAAAGGTATTCTTGAAGAATACACTAATAATGTAGAGAGATTTAATGTTCCAGAACCATCTCAATTACCGTCTCAGCTGCAAACAGTTTTGAGAACAGCCTACGTCTATGACTATGATAGTCCAGAAGAAAGCAATGAAGAACGCAATCCACAAAAATTTGAATGTAAAATTGCATTGTACAATATGAACGAAGAACATCCAGCAAAACCATTGGAATTAACTCTTGTAAAACTCCATGGATATAAAGGTAGAGCATCACGTTATTCTGGTTATTGTGAAGAAATTCATTTAAAATTTAAAAGTGGAAAGGAAGTAATACGTTTCGAAGGAGGTGATTTAGTTATGCCAAGTTATCGTCTATTCACTGATATAAATGAACAGCTCAATCTTCCGTCCGGTTTCGTTGTTTCTTTAGCAATACATCTTTTACCTCTTCACATAGAAAAAATACAATAGAGTATATACTCACTCGTCAACGTGGTACACATTTTGATTATTGGTGATTTTCTGTGGACATGTTTTGCAGAAACATTTTTGTCCGGCATATTTTCGCAAATCGGTTAAGTCTGTATTACGTAGGGATACACCGATTAATAATCGATGTTGGGGCACTAACGAAAACCGTTCGGACTTGGTTATATTTGCGGCAATTGAACTTCGAGTATATTTAAAGGAAAACAAGCAAGCAAACAAGCAAATGGAATAAGATTAGTAAAAAAAGTGGCAAGTTTAGAACGAATTTTGCAATTTTGCAATTTTGCAAAATTTCAATATTGATGAGAATTGATAAGAATTCAGTGCCAATGAAAAAATAGTTGATAATAATTTCTAAATCTTTCGGACAATCCCTCGAACAATTAAGGATTTAGTTCCATATATCAATTAATTTGTTGAAGAAAGAAAAGAGAAAAAGCTTGATTGTTAATCTAGAAAGGAGTTATTAAAATAAATCGATACCTGAAGAAAATATAACGGAATTCACGTAACGCTCAAAAACATAACATTAAACAAGTCAGAATAAACTAAAACTCAAATTATGTTGCCTTTGTCGTTGACCTAACACTTTTTTAATTAAGTTGGGTGCTCACGGGTGCAACTCGATCACACTGAGTAACTCGTTTTCTCCAGCGTTTCCAAGCAGACATACATATTTTTTCTCTTTGCATTTCTTGAACACCAATGACCATAAACGAAACATTTTTTTGTCAGTAGATAGACTATAGTTTAAAGCATATTTGGCATTATTCAAACTGCAAAAAAGAAAACTTTCGATTTTTGATCTAATG